ACACGCCAAGCTCCTCTCTTCACTTTTCAGGACAGTGAATAGAGGATAACACGTGTGCTCTCTTGAGCACAATCACACCTTCAAGGATACTAGTTTAGACTCCAGGATATCTACCCATCGATTGAGGGCGACACCATATACACCGATGACGAAGAGCGGAATGTATGTATGTGATGTAACTGTTGAGTGATTACTTATAATTACTTGTGTACACATTGTCTCGTATTTTGTGGTGCTTAATTGCATACCTAGAGAGCTTGCTGGAGTGTCTTGACTCTTGATGGTGAGTCCATAAAGAGCAAGACGCCACACAGAGTACTGGTCTGGGCAGCACCATTGTTTGTGAATGTTATTCCAACACACGTTACTCTATGTATATTGTGAATGCAATTTAATACCCGGAGAATCAATTTTGAGCTCCAAATGGTTTCTTTTGCATACCGCAGTGGTATTAGGCAGCCGGTATTGCTGAGGTGGTCATTATACCAGTGGTAAGATTAGGTTGCGTTAGGTAACCTGAGTACTGTCAGCAAGAGACGGTACTGTGTGTAGTATCCATGACCATCATCTCCCACACTTTCACATCTTCCCTATATTTCACCACTACTTTCTATCTACATCACAACCTTCCTAACCTTTCACTACCTTCCATATCCCTCACCACCTACCTACATTTTACCTTTATCTTAACGCTTCACCCCCTCCCTACACTTAACCATTTTCTGTACTCTTCACGACTTTCCGATCATCACTTTATTAATCTTCCATCTACACTGTTTTCTTCAATTTATTAACATCATAAGACTAACATTTGATTTTGTTCAATATCATTTGATCATGATCATTCCTCTGTGAATCATCATGAAGACGTAATTTGGTATTTAACAAGTTTTGAATATGGATCATTTCCAATTTCTTGTAAATGGGGTGCATGTAGGTCGACCCCCGACCCACCTATGACCTGCCCTGGACGAAGACCAATCACCCTACATAGTTGGGAAAGGCCAGATCCAGGAGTTTGGCATCTAACTTCGAGCAGACAGACATTATCTTTTATAAATATTGATTAATATATCCCTGTGCATATTTATTTTAATATGTAAAACAAATACTACAATGTGAAAAAATTACAAAATTATAGAAATACAATTCTGAAAGGAAAATATAGCTAGAGGAAAGACTATTATATATATTTTTGCATAAAACAAAGCTAACAAATAACGAGAAATGCAAATTAAAGCTATTTACCTTACTTAGGACTTGTTTACATTACGAACAGACATTATAATGTCCTCAGTTCATTATTATTACCAGACTCTGAAATGTGAAAACCATCAATTTCTTGAAAGCCTCAAAAGAAGTGATTTCGAAGGTTAATTAGACATTTATAATTATTCTTTATACTTCACAGATTATATTTTTAAAGCAACTAAATGTACGTTTTTTATATATGATACTAGCAGTACCCGGCCACGCATTGCTGTGGCCACGCGTGACTGACTGCCATTTATTTCAGATAGGATTAAAAAAGACCCATGTCCACTGAGGAAACCACTGTAGCCAATCACTGTTGAGTATCAACAACCAAATATAACAGCCACTCACAAAGCTACAGAATTGTGGCCATAAAAAAGTTCAGGTCATACCAGATAACGTTGTACCTGGCCACGTATTACGGCCACGCGTTGCTCAGCAATGCATGTGCGTTGCTGAGCCACAGCAACCATCCTTGTCCCCCAGTCCTCCCCACCATTCTCTCCTCACCCGTCTCCTCGGCCTCCCAACGATCCCCCACTCCACCATCCCCTTTTCCTTCCCACTATGTCCCACTCCCCGGTCCCTTTGTTCTCCCCACCATTCTCCATTCCCCCAACCCCTCGTCCTTACCATCCCAAACTCCCCCGTCTCTTCGTCCTTCCCCACCATTACCCCCTCTTTTGTTCCCTCGTCCTCCCCACAATCTCTCACTTCCGGCCCCTCGTTATCCCCACCATTCCCCACTCTCTCGCCCGCTGCCTTCCCAAATGGTTTGATGTTCACATCAGAAAATTTGGAACATCAAGTGATCTGATGTTCCATCACTGAAATATAAGAAAAACAGTTAAAAAATTATATGAAAATATTAAAAATAAAAAATTAACTATACTCACGAAATATACTGTATGGTAAACAACACAGCTCAATTCCAATGCAATTCACAAAATAATTAAATCAAAATGAAAATAAATCAAAATATGTGAGAATTCAATTTATCAATGCAGTCAGAAACATTGAAATGTAATTGTAACATATATAGTATAGCATGTGTGTTGCTTTTACAGGCAACAGATGACGCTGTTTGTCAAGAAAAGCATAGTTTTACCTGTCACAGGTGTGGGATCTATACTTATACTTACAAAATGAACAACACAGCTCAATGCCAACACAATGTCAAACAAAATAATTAATTATAAAAAATCGAAATCTATGAAAATAAAAATTATCAATGCAATCGGAAACACTGAAATGGAATTCATGACATATTTAGCATAGCATGCATGTTGTTATTATATGCAACAGATTGCGCAGTTTTTCAAGAACGCTTGTTTTTATCTGTCACAGGTGTGGCATCTATATAGTAGATATAAAAAGATGCGCCTATTCGAATGCTACGTTGTGTCAAAATTTCAAAGCAATCGGAAAAGAACTTTCGGAGATTACAGCGTGTGTTAGGCTTTGAAACATGCTCTTGCTGAACACCGACAACATGTTATCATCCATACAGATTCGAGGACCGCCATTGAAACCTTGCAACAAGAACACATATGTGATAACATCCATCTGCTCACCAATGTCTTTATCATTCATGCACACACTCAAACGACAAGGCCGACGGGTACTTATCAACTGGGTGCCAAGTCATGTGGGACTATTAGGTAATGACATTGCAGACGAAGCTGCAAAACTTGCTACTAAGAGGAGGAATGTAGACATTTACATACCACAGAGTCTCTCCCAGATGAAGAAAGTGATTCGAAACAGAGCAATGCGAAAGATGTACAGTGACCACAACACAGCAGTTGCAACATCAGGATCTGCGGGTTGGTACAAGAATTCCACCAACTACGAACCACTTAGTTTGATGAACGGGGGCAGTAGAACAACAGAAGTGCACTTACATCGCATCAGGCTTGGATACCCATGTGCATGGGAAATAGGCTTACAGGTTCCGAAAGATGAGAGGAAATGTCTACACTGTGGAGAAATGCCCGACAGACCACTGGAACATTATCTAACACAGTGCACAGTTACAAACCCGTTAAGATTTCACCTTCGATTCAACAGAGCAGAGGAAGTTGTTAAACACATATGGCAAAATCTTACTGAAGCGACCATTCGAGTCATACATACTCATCCTCCGCCCAGGTAAAACAGAAACAAGCATCACTTAGTGGGCCAGCCAGAGGCTTAGGGCCCGCGCAGGATTATCCCTGCTAAAAAGAAAAAAACAGCGTGTGTTGCTCTTTCGTCCAACAGATGGCACGTTTTTTTTTTTTTTAACCTGTTTTTCCTGACACAGGAGAGGTATGTATATAGTTGATATATAAAAAGACGCACCTATTTGAATGCAATGTTGTGTCAAAATTTCAAAGCAATCGGTAAAAAGGTTTCAAAGATTTCCCTCCCGTGAAAACCCAGTTTTTCAGAAAAAGCATGTTTTTGTTTTACCGTCACAGACGTGATATCTATATAGTATGTATATGAAAACCTGGCCGGATGCAAATGGAACATTGTGTGAAAAATTCAAAGCAATCGGTGAAGAATTTTCGGAGATTAGCTATTTTGAACAAACGAACATTTCCATTTTTATTTACATAGATTAAAAAATAAAAAAAATAGCTATACTCACGATGTGAACGGTATGGTAAACAACACAGCTCAATTCCAACACAATTCACACAAAATAATGAAATAAAACTGATAATAAATAAAAACCTATGGAAATTCAATTTATCAATGAAATCAGAAACATTGAAATGGAATTGTAACATATTTAGTAAAGCATGTGTGTTGCTCTTACAGGCAACAGATGGCGCTGTTTCTCAAGAAAAGCATAGTTTTACCTGTCACAGGTGTGGATTTATACTTATACTTATGAAATGAACGGTATGGTAAACAACACAGCTCAATTCTAATACAATGTCACACAAAATAATACAATAAAAAATAAAATAAATCGAAATCTATGAAAAAATATCAATGCAATCGGAAACATTGAAATGGAATTCATGACATATTTAGTAGAGCGTGCATGTTGTCATTATGTGCAACAGATGGCGCCGTTTTACAAAAACGCATGTTTTTACCTGTCACAGGGGTGGCATCTATATAGTAGATATATAAAATGACGCGCCTATTCGAATGCAACGTTGTGTCAAAATTTCAAAGCAATTGGTGAAGAACTTTCGGAGATCACAGTGTGTGTTGCTCTTACGTCCAACAGATGGCACTGTTTTTTAAAAAAAGAATGTTTTCTCCTGACACAAGTTAGGCATGTATAAAGTAGATATATAAAAATACGCACCTATTCGAATGCTACGTTGTGTCAAAATTTCAAAGCAATCGGTAAAGAAGTTTCGAAGATTTCCCTCACATGAAAAACACAGTTTTTCAGAAAAAAACATGTTTTTTACCGTCACAGACGTGATATCTATATAGTATGCAAATTAAAAAATGGCCAGATGCGAATGGAACATTGTGTGAAAATTTCAAAGCAATCGGTGAAGAACTTTTGGACATTAGCCATTTTGAACAAATGAACATTTCCATTTTTATTTATATTGATTATAGTCAGACCAAGTGAAATGGCTCAAGTGAAATGGCTTGGACCTGAATGTCACCAACGAATGAAGAATGTTTGTACTCATACTGATAAATAATATCTCGTAAATAATATCTTTAATAACATGATGGTGGATATTTATAGAAAATAAAAATAAATTGCAAACTTCTTACTGCAGGCGAGGTGTGGGTGGCGCTTCTGGTGAGTGTGGTTATGTGGGGCGTGACCCTGTGGCTGATGGAGAGGGCGTGGCAGTGGGTGGCTGGAGGGCGTCAGGTGGCGCTCAACACAACCTTCCTATACGCCTGGGGTGCACTCCTGCAGAACCTGCCCTCTGAACCGTCTGTCAACTTCTCCAGCAGGGTAGGGGGCTGTTGATGCTTCATAGTTTTGATTTTATAACTGTTCTATTGAACCAAAAATAAAAAAAATATTTTAACCCTAAAACTGCGCATGGCATATATATACGCCATGAGTAACATGTCCCACAGTGCGCATGGCGTATATATGCACCATAAGGTGCCAGGCACGATTTATATGTCCCGCAGCTGCAAAAAGTTCACATTAACTTCCTCAGGGCTCTTGTAAACAGACGCCATTTTTTTTAAAAATCGTGGGAAATATTCTCCGGTGTGAGAGCCACAGTACTTTTGGAGCAACCAAGGTTGGCGCATGCAGCATGAGCAAACATCATTGCTGTTCAGCTTGTGACCACAGCATCGGCGAAAAATGTCAAAATAAATATATAACTGCTATTATGTTGCGATGACAATATTACAGAGGACCCCTGACTGTGATAAAAATGACCAGGATTGTCATAATAGCTGTGTTGTGATATTAGCGCTGTGGGAGGAGTGATGCTGAGGGACGGAGGGAGCGAGTAGATTATCTCAATAATATACTCGCTCCAAAAGCATTAGCCTAACGAGAGAAGCAAAGCTCTTCTTAGTACTAATTATGGAACTCAACCCTTTCCCTACTTTCAATTAATATTCCAGCCAACCTTTGGAGAACTGTCAGGTGTTGCCCGAGCATATAAGCAGCAGAGTAGCGAATAATAACCATTTCTGACTGTGTGGCCACTTGTTATTGTTTGCATTCACCATACCAGCTCAGTGGTTATCTATGGTGAACACAAATGTGGATACTTATATATAATGTGTGTATTAGTGTAATAACAGCAAGAGGGTTATGTTGGGAGGATCCAATTAGGTGACGTCGTCTGCATGATTTGTCTGGGTGTGTAGAGGGTGGCCACTATGCTTTTTGGGCACTCTACAAGCTTAGGTGTTCAGTTACGGTGCATTCAACATGTAGATACTTATATATAATATGTGTATATAGTGTAATAACACTGCAAACAGTATTGTTGGGGGAGAAAGTTTAGTGCGTGTGACCTTCAATGAGTAAGGGAGCCACCAGCTGACTGTGTGTATAGCGACGACTCTTGGTGCCTGAACTAACTATATCAGCTTAGTTGTACAGTTGTGTTTAACAAAACATGAAGATACTTATATATAACGTCTGTATATTGTGAATAAAGTATAAAACATGATGGTGGGAGGAGAAAGTGGGCGAGTGAGACGTTGTTGAGGGAGTGGCAACAAGTGCCTGGCTGGTGTGTGGCGGTCACTCCTCCTTGCTTTTCGGCTCACAATACCAACTTAGTGGTTCGTTATGGTGACCAAATCATGCAGATATTTATATATAACCTGTGTATAGAGTGTAATAACAGCAAAACTATTTGTTTATTGTTTTATGAACATAATAATTGAATCACTAATATGCACACCATACTTTTGAGAATAGCGATGATTCACCTTTTTTATTATATAAATATATCACACTACACACTATTGAATAATATTACTGCAAAAAAAATAAGAAAAAATCAATCAGAGACATTGAAATAATTAGGTGATAATATTTTTGTGGCAACTCTCCCCTGTCAGCACGGGTGACGTTGAATGGCTCTGACGACCGCTCAGTCAACGCCCACGTTTTGCCAGACTTCCTCGGTCTATTGCGCCCAAAATATGTCACCTACGATTTTTTTTATATTTTTCCCGTGCTCAGGGAACACAAATTAACATTTTTAGAAGACGAAATAATTTTTTAGATTTTTTTTCTTGCCCACAGGGGTGTAAATCTCCTCAAGACTCTTTAGCAGCTTAAGGGTTAAAGAACCTTATCGAGCGTGCAAACATACACAGATGAGTACATGTACTGACATTGTAAAATGTTATTGTTACTGAAACAAACACGAGAGTGCTCAATAATTTCCAATTTCATTTTCTCTTGTTATTCATCCTAAAAAATATGCGCACGCACACACACACACACAGAAATTGTTCACGACTTCTGTTAGGCCAAAGCTAGAATATGCAGCGGTTGTGTGGTGCCCATTTCTTAAGAAGCACATCAACAAACTGGAAAAGGTGCAAAGACATGCTACTAAGTGACTCCCAGAACTGAAGGGCAAGAGCTACGAGGAGAGGTTAGAGGCATTAAATATGCCAAAACTAGAAGACAGAAGAAAAAGAGGTGAAATGATCACTACCTTGGTTACCTTGAGGTTACCTTGAGGTGCTTCCGGGGCTTAGCGTCCCCGCGGCCCAGTCGTCGACCAGGCCTCCTGGTTGCTGGACTGATCAACCAGGCTGTTGGACGCGGCTGCTCGCAGCCTGACGTATGAGTCACAGCCTGGTTGATCAGGTATCCTTTGGAGGTGCTTATCCAGTTCTCTCTTGAACACTGTGAGGGGTCGGCCAGTTATGCCCCTTATGTGTAGCGGAAGCGTGTTGAACAGTCTCGGACCTCTGATGTTGATAGAGTTCTCTCTCAGAGTACCTGTTGCACCTCTGCTTTTCAACGGGGGTATTCTGCACATCCTGCCATGTCTTCTGGTCTCATGTGATGTTATTTCTGTGTTCAGGTTTGGGACCAGCCCCTCTAATATTTTCCACGTGTAAATTATTATGTATCTCTCCCGCCTGCGCTCAAGGGAGTACAGTTTTAGGCTCTTTAGTCGGTCCCAATAGTTTAGATGTTTTACTGAGTGGATTCTAGCAGTAAAGGATCTCTGCACGCTCTCCAGATCAGCAATTTCTCCAGCTACATACAAAATAGTAACAGGAATTGATAAAATCGATAGGGAAGATTTCCAGAGACATGGAACTTTAAGAACAAGAGGTCATAGATTTAAACTAGCTAAACACAGATGCCTATGAAATATAAGAAAATTCACTTTCGCAAATAGAGTGGTAGACGGTTAGACAAGTTAGGTGAGAAGGTGGTGGAGGCCAAGACCGTCAGTAGTTTCAAAGCGTTATATGACAAAGAGTGCTGGGAAGACGGGACACCACGAGCGTAGCTCTCATCCTGTAACTACACTTAGGTAATTACACTTAGGATATTACACACACACATCAGTCGCCACTCATGTTGGATGGATGTGGGTTGGAAAGCTCTTAGGTTAATGGTAAATTGGAAGGCATAATCAGAATACATCGAAGTGAAAAAGTGCATACAAGTGAATGAATTATTGGTAAACTGATTGAAACCATAAAGAAGTGAAGAAATAAAGTAGACAACGCATAACTGATAATATGTGTTGAACACAGTGTGGCATTGTGAAGTACTGGAGCTGACCTCGCGCTGACCGTGACCTCACCAGCCTCAATCTGTATGTTGTCCGATGTGAGGTCACGTTGGTTGCAGCTGACATGACCCTACGCCGGCCCCAACCTTACGTGACTACACTGCATGGGGAGACGACTGGATATTCACCCACCTATTGTGTAGCAGATCATGTAAGGTAATTGGAACACCTGTTGGCTAAGGTTGTTGCAATAACGAAATCAAAAGGGGGGGGGGTCCTGGACAAGCAGTAGCAGGGAAGAAGAAGATAAGTTTGTAGAGAAGCTGATAGGGAAATTTGTTGAGAGGAGGAGCATTTGGAGTGAGCATTTGACCTTGGGTATATAAAAGTGAGATCTTTCAACAAATACAGGACAAGGCTGAGTGTCAAAAACAAGAGCTTGTGGCCTATATTCAGGGAGAAATTAGGAAGAGTAGGGTAACGTGGGGGAAATTGAATGTACTCGGCTAGCAAATGAATTAGGCAGGACTAACAACATAGCTAGGAAGAAGGGATTAGTAGGGGACGGAGTAGCAAGTGTGGGTGGGGAAGGGGGTTTTCAAGGGAGAGGCTACAGCATGAGAATGCATCACAGAGAAGGCCGTCAATTATCTTCCATGGATTATTCAAATTTATGGCAAAATCGAAGCATGAAAGGATAGAAATGGAAAAATTTGAATTACATGAGATTTTGAGATGTATTACTGCCAAGATGGCAGGAAACGAGGTGGAACTCAATAGCCAGATTGGACCTTACAATTGGAACAAGAATTGACCTGTCCTGGTACAGTTTTCTAATGAAGAGGCAGTGGATTACATAATGAAGCACAAACATATACTCAGAGGCAGCAAAGGCTATTACATCATGTTTATTGAGAGATATTTGATGAAAGATGAACACATAGCCAACAAGACAAGCCGACCTGCATGCCATCGGGACCCTACTCGCCCCATCATTCCTTCCCAAGTCACAAACCCTCCTGCTACCCCCCAACAACTCCCCTGCGCCTTCCTCCACACTTGCACCCAATTCATCCTGCTACATCACACCCTTCAATGACCCTATCAGGCTGTGGGAACCGACCTGTGAGATTTATATTTATTTAATTTATATGAATTTATATAGAATTTATATTTACGTTAATTTATATATTTCGATAGCAATTTGTATGATGTTTAGCGGACTGTATTTCTGCAAATTCTCACAAATCGATACTTACACATTAAGGGGGGGGGTTATATTAAAATTATATAAATGCAGCCAATAAAACTACAGTATTAAACTACATATATTAGTATATAAATTGAGGAGGTGCCTTATCTTATTGGACAGCAGGCTTAGTCCATCAGGTATAACTAGGATGTAGACACCAAATTATCCTCGTTAGAGGCTAGCTTCCAACACACATAGTAACTGATGTACCAAGATTAATTCTTGCTTCCTCTTCTTGTTCCTGTCAAAGGGCACCAGCTGTAAAGCCGGAATCCTAATACTATATCAGAGAAAACACTATATTATATAAGATAAGGACCAAGTCTTAGCTACCTGTATTTAGAGGCTCATTTGTGTCCTAACCGGATTAATCATATCTACCTACATTACTGCCCAATAATGACTTAGATAAGATTTTGGAAAGACAGTTCTCTTGTTGTTGTTGACAGCGTGTTGATGATGGTTCAACACTAATTTGATCTCCATAACACTTCGTCCAAGAGAAATTAT